GTATATATATATATATATATATATATATATATATATACTTTTATCAGTTATTAAAATATTAGATGTCCCAGCAGTAGTGTACATCCCTGATCAAAGTAATACATTATCCTCGAAAACTTATTTTTAAAGTGCATATGACCAAGAAAGGTAATTACATGACAGTTAAGGTATTCCAAATCATATATTAAAAAAAACTTGGACACATACATCTGTGGTAAATCCCCCCTAATCTAAATACTTCATTAACTGGTTAAAAACTAGTTGTTATTACTTACTAACCTCATGAAATAGCTGAAGATTCCTCAGTATTACTAGAACTAATTTTAAACCATTTTTTATTGAAGCTTCGGATGGATGTTTGTTCAATTTTGGCACACAATTTCTTCTTTTATTTGTCCTTTTCACAGGATCTTTAAAAGTCAACTGGCATTGAAAACAGAAGACAGCACAAAGGTTGTTAATTATTATTTTTTGACCCTGAATTTTCTCACTGTCAGCTATAAATCATGTGATCTCCAGGTCTTAGGCTTAATATGTATTTTTCTTACTTTGAATATTAAGAATCTGCTATTAGCTCAAATACATATCCTGTTATATATCTGTTCTTGTGCTTAAAACAGACTCATCACATCAAGCTAGAGTCGATAAAGAAGGGAAGAATATATTACTATACAATGTCACACAAACATGGTTTTCAGGTTCCAGAGGCTTTGCTAGTTACCATATTCCAAAGACACGTTACAATAACACGCAACATCTGTTATACATATGAAGTTTCATGTTCCACAGACTGTGCTAGTTACCATATTCCAAAGACATGTTACAATAACACGCAACATCTGTTATACATATGAGGTTTCATGTTCCACAGACTGTGCTAGTTACCAGAGTCCAAAGACACGTTACAATAACACGCAACATCTGTTATACCTATGAAGTTTCATGTTCCACAGACTGTGCTAGTTACCATATTCCAAAGACACGTTACAATAACACGCAACATCTGTTATACATATGAAGTTTCATGTTCCACAGACTGTGCTAGTTACCATATTCCAAAGACACGTTACAATAACATGCAATATCTGTTATACATATGAAGTTTCATGTTCCACAGACTGTGCTAGTTACCATAGTCCAAAGACATGTAATGACAATGTGCAACATTATTACAAAGCATGACAGCTATCTGCCCTCATACCAGAGAACACGACACATTTTCAATACGTTTTCATACGTAAAGGTGCAATAAGTGAATAAAGTATTCTATGAATCAGTTAATCAGATGTAAGGAAGAACATAGAATATTTTACTCAAGAAACTTTATATAGACCTTGTGCAGGAATCAAATAGATATTATAAAGTTAACTGTACGTCAGTTTGGCGGGATAAAAATGCCAGATTAATACAACAAGATGAATGTGAAATTCTTTATTATATGCATTCATTAAAGTACAGGTGTGATGGACACTGCTTATAACAAAATATTTAAAAATATTTGACTAGCAGAAATGGAGTTTAAACATTTAATCTCATTCACGTTCTCAAAATATGCCATTAATTCTTGCACTCGTCCTCTCATAAAAAGTGGATTTTAAAACACTGGATCGGTCCTTACATAGAGGCAATTAGTAAATTTAACAATTATTACATTCAAAAAACTAATGCTATTTGAAATTACATATTAATCTTAATTGTAATAAGATCAATTATAAGTACCAATATACTGTACAATTATGTCCAATTAATGCAATAATAGAAACATTTGGTTTCAAGGCTCAAATGTCAATATTTGCTGAATACAAGAATAGTTGAAGTCCTAACAACTTGAAACCAAGGTTAACTCACTGCCTAACATAACTTTAATACTTGTACATTAAGTCCTAAGAACTTGAAACCAAGGTTAACTCACTGCCTAACATAACTTTAATACTTGTACATTAAGTCCTAAGAACTTGAAACCAAGGTTAACTCACTGCCTATCATAACTTTAATACTTGTACATTAAGTCCTAACAACTTGAAACCAAGGTTAACTCACTGCTTATCATAACTTTAATAATTGTACATTTGTAAAGAATGAATATTAGTATTTGTTGAAAGGCTTGTCCACATAAAATAACACAAACTTAATTATATAAATTACTTCAGTTAATTGTGGAGTGACAGTGCCAGATTTAGGCATAAGCTAAACAAGCTACACCTTAGGGCCCTCACAATCCTCAAGGGCCTCACAAAATTTCAGATTGATAAATATGTAATCAGCAAATGCATTCATTTGAAAATAATTCGTATTTTTCACCTTAAATACCTTGCCATTAAATAATTAAAAGGGATATATATGTTTTTAATTTTTTGTGGCGACCCAAGGTCCTGTTTTGGTATGCACCTTTGTGAGACCCTCTGTCTGGTGTAACTTTTTAACAAGGGGCCTCCAAGCTTTATATAGCTTAAGGTCTCACCAAGTCTAAATCCGACACTGCCTGTATTTCATTTCTTTGACTTTAAAGTTCACGGTGGTTACTAGCTTAAGTAGTTTAAATTTTGTCACATAGTTATCATTACAGTTGTTCAAATCATTAGGTTAATGTTCTCAGGCAAGAGATTTATCAAATTCTACTTGCCAGTTGGTTGCCAAGGAACATTATCTACGAATCAATGTTGTCATGGTTTCACCTACTTAATTTATTTAGATACCTCATAATGTCACATAATACAAATAAAGGTGATCAAACATGTTTGTATTCTCCATAATACAAATAAAGGTGATCAAACATGTTTGTATTCTCCATAATATTTGCATAATACAAATAAAAGCATAGAAACATGCTTACAGTCCATGTATTGATGCAGGATACAACAAAGGCATTGAAATATTTCAGTAATATCTTTAAGATGCTTTAGCATGCTCGGAGTTTCCATGGTGTGGCAAAATACATGTAACAGTCTTTCCACATGCTTGTTGTCCCCCTAGTATTGCAAGATAGAAGGTGATGTATTTGAACATGCCCATCATTTTCCAAGCATTACAAAGAAGAAGGTAATGCTTTGGAACATGCCTGTCATCCCCCCTCACATTTTAAAGTAGAATGTAATGTATTTGAACATGCCTGTCATCCCCCTCACATTTTAAAGTAGAATGTAATGTATTTGAACATGCCTATCATCCCCCTCACATTTTAAAGTAGAATGTAATGTATTTGAACATGGCTATCATCCCCCTCACATTTTAAAGAAGAATGTAATGTATCTCAACATGACTGCCATCTCCCCTAGCATTACTAGTCTGTGTAATATTGCGAGATACAAGACATTAAGTATGTTCCTAGTCTTTGCAATGATGGAAAATACCAGTAGTTAATCCAGACACGTTTTACAGTATCTGTTCATAATTAAAACACAATTTAAAAACTATTGAGACTGTTGACAGTCTCAGAATAAAAGTTTTTAAGTTGTATACTTAAAAACGTTCATTATTCGAGTGTTTCAATTATTAATTTACACAAGCCACTTGGATTTTTAGCCTTTTAATATTAGTCTGTTTTATATTCAACTAAATAAGTAGCGTTCTTCACAAGTATCTATAATGCATCAATTGTTTATTCCCAAGTTACGCTAGCCTGAAACATTGCTCTTCTAAAGTCTTAAGTAGTAAAATAAGTGCGTGTTCCGAGTTTTCACATCTTGAAATATTAAGAGCCTAGCTTTAACCACCATTCCAAACCTTCAATGTAATACTAATAAAATAATTTATTGTATCATTTATATTTGACTGCAAGAAATGAGGAAAATTATGCATAAAAGAAAAAATTTTAAGATCTTTAAGTAGTTTCTACCTGATGGTAGTATTTTTTATTTTTTTTATGTATCCCGCCAAAAAAGCTTTTTTGAGATAACACGTAATTTGAGTGACTACTGCATTGTGTTTGTTAAATTCCCGAGATGGTTTAAAATGAAAATAAAACATTTTGTGACTGTGATATACTGTTATAAGATAACTGCTTCTTTGAAAAGGTCCCTTACATTTCTACTCAATGAAGCATAGATATTTCAAAATGAGGATTTTTTAAGGCTTTTATTTAAGCATACTTTATTTGGTTAAAACTGTAATAAAAACAAAGCTAAATATGTAGTTATTAAACACTGCCTTACTGGTTAATTAATGGCATTATTTTCATGTCAATCCAAACATTTAGGATACTTAGTGCCTCCTAATTAGTTAAATTGTGTCACAAATGCTGTGCAAGGATTTAGGATACTTAGTGCCTCCTAATTAGTTAAATTGTGTCACAAATGCTGTGCAAGGATTTAGGATACTTAGTGCCTCCTAATTAGTTAAATTGTGTCACAAATGCTGTGCAAGGATTTAGGATACTTAGTGCTTCCTAATTATTTAAATTGTGTCATATACTGTGCAGGCATTTAAGATACTTAGTGCCTCTTAATTAGTTAAATTGTCTTACAAATTAAATTGTGTCACAAATGCTTAAAAGAACTTAGGACACCTAGCACATCCCTAATTAGTTAAATTGTGTTACAAATGCTATGTAAGGATTGTTAAGTTAATACACACAGGCATCTCACTTTGTGAACATTTTTTGAAGCAATGGTTATAAATTCAAATCACTGTTGTTTCACACCCCCATCTAGCTAGTTAAGAAGCAGTACTTTGTCCCCCAAAAAATAAAGTTTATAATTATATATTACATCTCGAAAGTAGGAAATAATACAATGTCAGATCTATGGGAAATTAAAAAGGTAACACTATAATCAAACCACTACTCTTAAGTAAATCAAGTACTCTTCCAAGGTGGGGAAAAAAATTTTAAAAATATGATAGTAAATATTTCACATATACAAATTGTAATTGGAAGGTACACCACAATTAAATATAATAAAAACCATAAATTCATATTTTGTAACCTTATACATAACACACAGAAATATATAATTATATAGTAACTTGAACTCTGTAACACCAAATAAAAAGGGAAATAAAAATTATTTAAAATGATCAACATAACATAAACTTTGTAGTCCATTCGTAAAATATTCAGGAAATTAAAAAAAACAAAAAACATTTCACACATTTTAAAGGAGTTAGAAAGTTACCAAAAACCGGCTGTCTCTGAATAACTAAATACTTCGGCCATTTGTAATAAATTTACATTTTGTTTTGTACAGATATCACTTTTACATATTTTTTCCATCCTTGTCCTGCAGTAGAAAAGTTGAGCTCTATTTCAACAGTTTACATAACAGAAAGATATAAAATGTTAAAACATTAAACAAGAACTGCCAAATATTACTGAAAAAAAATACATATAAATCTCATAAGCCTAATTTTTTACTATTTTATTGGACTAAGTTTACATCTCTTCTAAGGATTACTAATAGCTTATTAATCATATCACGATCACGGCTTCTGAAAATCGTTTTCTTTAACCGAACTTATAAATATTTCTTGTGAATCTTTGCAAGAAAGGTATAAACTCTTTTATAATCTATAAAAATTAAATGAGAAAGACATAGTAATGTGCCAAAGGGACATATAGAAAATCTAAGTCATAATGAGAAAACAAAAAATGTAATTAATCAATAAGTTAAATTATGTTTCTTTTATAGTAGACTTCTCTCACTTCTGCATTTTGATAAGGTTTAAAGCTGATGAATATACTATTATATTACAATCACGGATAGAGTAATCTCTTATATTAGAGTTGTTCACACTAGGTGGCTGAAAATACTTGTATAAGAACATACAGATCAAAGTTCAGCCAATTATCTTTGATTAGATACTGTTAACATATGTGTATATTCCTAGTACAAAAGTCTTTGGTAAATAATGTTATATATATATATATATATAATGAAACACCAGGGGGCCTAAAGGTGTGAATAATGCATACATTCCAGATAAAAATCTGATTATTGTAGCTTACAAGATTAGGCTTCATTCACCAGGTATGCGATAAGCCTAATTTCTCAGCTCAAAATTTAATACAATTCTTTAATAGAAACTGTTCATCCAGAGAAGCCGGTACTTATTATTCCACAATTCCGTATGGTTATCACATGTTGGTTCATTCCCATTGAAGTTAGATCGTGTTAGTGTGTACCACACTTGGAAACATTTAGATACATAAACAATGTGGCAAAAAAAAAAAAAAAAAAATGTTTCAGTAATTAAGCTGCAATAAGAATTTTACATAACTAATTCTATCTTATAAAACATTAAAATGTCTTCCAATTAACCAGACGTGTGATGCAATGAGACAAACCAATACGCATATGCACAAACAAATACATCAATGTTTGTATACTATTTCAGCTAGGCCACAGCTCCATTCTCTACCATGGTCTATATTATTTAAACAGATTTAATTAACTTGTATTTACAAAAAAAAGTTAGGAATGTCCAAAGAACCAAAAACAGAGAGTAACTTTAGTTACACTTCACAAATAAGTTTGAATACAAATTCAAAATGTATTTGACTACAAAGCACCTGGATTTAGTACATAACTCTCAAAGGAAAATATAACTTCTTAACAAAATCTGAATAAGATTAAACATGGCAGGTCTTCCTGCACAATGTGAACTCTATGTATAAAAAATATATACAAAATTTTAGTGCTTAAAGGACAAACTCAGTGGTAAGCCATAAAACATTTTTTAAATGTTTGATTGGTTAAATTACCTGAAAGACTTGTTGAAAGGTGACTGAAGCAACCAAAATGTTGAAATTCGCTATTAATGTAACATGTCAGTAAATACTGTTCATTAACCTTATTGAACAGAATTATTTTTGTTAATTAGAACAGCATCTTCAAGGGTGTTTGTGAATAACTTTTAAACATGAAGTTGCTCTATTCATCTCCACAAACAGATGAAAAATTGATCCACACCAATGAATTAACCTCAAGATGAAAATACATTGAAAACCTCAAAATATTACTTTTAGATACTATCTTACAAAATTTGGATATATTAAGTTATTCAAATTCCTTTTGTTACAAATTTCTCATTTAGTTTTCAGAACCAATAATGGAGTGAAAAAAAAAAATACACACTTCCCTCAAATAATACTAGAAAATCAACAAAACAAACGGTTAAAGTTTCAATCCGAGTTGATACAAGCGATCCGTAAGTCAGTTTTCAAGAGTAGCGATTGAAACAAACTTGTACAGCAACATTTTAAACCATAAATCCAAGTTCAACAAGTACACATAAGATTATTTGTTTTTCTAAGTTAATTTAACTAGTAATACTTGTCTGAAACACGCCAAAACTGTGTACCTAAACAACAGCTTAAATTGGCAAGAGATTTGGATCACATATCTGAACACTGATTAACCATCCACTACCTTAATTCCTTGATGTACAATAATAATAAAAATCGTGAATCATGAAAACAAACTTTACCATTAAAACAATGAGGTATAACTCCAGATCAAAAATAAATCTGAAAAACTTGAGCAACATAATATTTTGTTCTAAGTACTAAACAACTTCTATTAAATAAGTTTTTAGTTCGTCACAGACATATATAATTAGTTATGCATAATGTATCATGATAACTGAATATATTAAATTTTCAGAAATTATTAAGTTTCGATAATTCTATGTTACATAGCACAGAAATAACAATAGACTCAAAATTTATCTCGCAGATCAAATTTATAACCTTGTTACTTCATCCATATAATGTTCTTGTCCAGAATCTATACCTTTGTCATCTGGATTAGAAATGATGTTCTTCTTTGGTTCTTGGTGTTCCACAAATGAAGAAGTCACTTCAAATGGAGAATTAGGACTAGAGGAACCTGACAAATCTGTGCTTTCTGACAATCCTGTGCTTGTCTGTGACTCCAAACATTCCCAAGACCCTTGAGGAGTGGTCAAAGCAGTAACAGGCATGCTTTGATAGTTAGTGGATTTTACACCTGTTGCAGCTTTAGGCAACGTTGCAAACTGAGTACCACTGACTAGAGAGGAAGTCTGGGGATCTGTGTGTGGGTTGTAGTTTGGCTCCGAGAAGAAAGAAGAGGTCATTATATTTGGGCTATCCCAAGAAATGTCTAAGGAACTGATGTGACTACTACAGTCACTCTCAGTACATACTGAGATTGTAGAACTATTCTGGCTGCGGAGGCTACATGGACTGGGTGGTATCATTTGACGAAGCTGTGGAGGAAGCAGCGGACTGGGTGGGATCTTGGCTCCTCGTGCTGCCCATGCTGCATGTAAATAATCTATTTGTTTATAACTAAGATAACAAATCATTAGGTGATACACAGTTCTCGTAGATAAACAAAACACACATAATAAAAAATTTACATTAAAATAATAAAAAGTAATAATAATGAAGGCGTATGTAACACATTTCAAACTTCAGATATATGATGTATTTGTGCAACAGATAAAACTGAGTTGCCGTCAATCACAATAAAACGGTAATTATCATCATTCGCATAGAGTTATAGTTATATGTGTGTGACTGACGGATATTTCCGTCATTCGAGCTGAGCCATAGAACTTCAATGACAGAAATATCTGTCATCCGCAGTTAATGGGTTAATGTTTTTGAAAACTGTAAAATGCCAAATAATCAATGTCAGTTTAGCTGCTTTCCAAATAAGTACGAGTAATTATGCAATCTTTCTTACTTGATATGGCTCCGTCTTAAACCAAAATACCACTTCAGAGAAACAAAGTAAAAGTTAATCTTAATCCTGAAATCACCAGCTTGTTTTTATGCCATTTACCACCACTAGGGGTCCACATATTGCATTATATTGAGTGATTTGATGTTTTTGGGTTAAACAAAGAAAAATTTACTTACTCTGCACAAGCTGGTGTTCTTTATCATAAAGTTGTTCCAATTCACAAATTTTTTCTTGTAGAACTTGCTATAAATAAACAAACACTGTTAGGATTATTTCAACTTGAACATCCTTCGTAAATGCACTCTTATGAGATCAGTGGTTTTAAGTAAGTCAAGAATAGATTTCAGAGGAATAACCTGTATGAAAAGAGTCAGCATGAAATTCCTACTTCGAAAATGATTAGTCATATTTAGCTTTCCTGCAATGTTTATATCTGAAAGGAACATTTAAAAAAATATACATATTCATTGCAATATACAACTCAAAACGTCTATCAAAAATAGTAAATAAAATATCGTGAATCCTTAGCGAGACCTTGCGTAGTATAGTACATCTAAACAGGGTATAGAGTCAGAAGGGTTACATACATGTTCCTAAACAAACTTCACATTAGTGGTAGTGGTTGGGTGTGTACGTATTCCTTACACTACCTCATGTTTAAGTTCAACTTGTATATAACTATGATCAAAACTATAAACTAAAAACACTAAGCATAAGGTATGAAGCTTATATGTGAGTATAACAACTATCAACACAAGAGTGATGGTCTAGTACAGAGGTTCCCAAACTAGATGTTACAAAAGTTTTAGGGGGGGGGGGTCATAGCAAAGTATGCAAAATACTGTCCTGATAAATTCACTGAGTGAGAAGCCTTGTGCTTAGAAGGTTAGGGAACCCTTGGTATAGCATTCACATTACCACTTCAAACTGGATGAATCAGACCTCTCAAATTATGCCCCATTGTTCATAACAACATGTTGTTTAGGGAAAGAAGAAACCTAGCTCTATACTTAGTAAAAATATTCAATTTATATATACATATATACAAGACAACTTCCAGCATATTGTGGAATATATGGTACATCCAGGATCATACATCTCAACAAATGCTGAGCTATACTCAAACAAGACAACTTCCAGCATCTTGTGGAATATATGGTACATCCAGAATCATACATCTCAACAAGTGCTGGGCTATAATCAAACAAGACAACTTCCAGCATCTTGTGAAGTATACAATATGTCTAGTCCAGACTATTATTGTCGTTAAGGGTGGTCAAATTTAGTATTAGTTGGAGTCTTCATAAAGTAGCCATTTATTGTGTCATTATGTTTAAAATCTAACTGGGTATATAAATTTACCTTTAATCTGAAGTATTTCATGTGCAGCTCCACCTTGTGGACACAATCTTCAAATAATACAACCATGCGCATTGTTTTCTCACAGTTCTGGATGTAATGAACGAGTGTTCTGTGGTCAACTTTTTCCATGTCATGTCCATTAATAGAGAGGATTACATCTCCTGTATTGAAATTAAATAATGTTTTAAATCATTAATAGATTCAGAAAAAACAATTATTTTCAAGAAAGTAAACCACATACAAACAACAACAAAAATCTACATCTTTAGGTTATCAAGAAAAATTCAAGTGTAGCGAATTTTCAATTATTTTAAGTCACAGTAGCGTATTGTTAAAAGTGAAATGACACGGAACTAACAAGAAATAAGAAGGATGGTTAAACTAAAAAGCAATATACATCACCATTCTCTGTAATAGAAAATAACTATAAAAACAAACATGCTGATTTTATCATTATACATCCCATGTGCAAACAAACCTTACTACCATTAACAGCTTAGAATCTGTCAAATAAATAAAACCATAATTTTATGTTTTTTTTCAAATCACAGTAGGAATTCAGTGTCTATTAAATTCACTATTTCAAAAATAAAGCATACGAAATAGAGAATAATTGAGTTGCACCAAATAAATAATTTTTTTCCCCCTTGAAAAACAATGCTTAAAGCATAATGACAATTCATTATTACGTAAAACAGAAGAATGACTTGGAGTGGTGTGTACAGTTACAGCTATTTTTATGTACGTGATATAAATTTGGAAAGTCGCATGTTGGTCATCAGACAAAAAAACACTAAACAAATAAAGAACACATTATTTCAAATATATTTTCAACTTTAGATTTTCTATGAATATTATCACTTTCCAACTCACCTGGCCTCATTCCTGCCCTAAAAGCAGGCCCTTCATACTCTACGTAATCTACATAAGTAATTAATTCTACTTCGGAATCTCTTCTATGATGAATTCCATACGTCTGAGTGGAGAAAAAAAAACAATCAAGATAAAATGTTGTTTTCACCAATTTTTAATACAATCCATTCTATCATATTTTTTTGAGACCAACATATAATTAACCACAGTTTATCATTTTTATTCAAAGTTATTAAGTTTTAAAATGTGTATGACCATTTGTAGAAACAGTAAACATTTGTACAACTAGAAATAGCAGTTACAACAGACCCCCCATCTCACCTATCAAGCATCAATTCCTAACAATCTGACCATTTGGAACAAACGTAGCTCTGGGTAGGAGCATAACAAGAATAAAGACACTGTGAACACGATCTTTTATTTTCATTAAGAGAGAATTTAAGTGACATTATAACATAAATTGGGATTACCATTCGTCACACAATCACTAGATTAAAAACACTACCTTGCAGTATTTTTGAATATTTCACACACAAATCGTGAGCCCCAAAACGTAAAATATTATATATGTTAAAAATCAGACTTATGCCACACTTTGTGGCTTAGATCCATTTCACGCTGCACCAGCTTTGATTATAACATTTTAATGTCATATGACATTAAACCAAAGCAAACAAACTGGTTGCCATGATGATATCTGAAACAACTGTTGTAGAACTAATTCCTAATGCAAAAAATTTACATTCAAAACAGCAAATACTGGATACAAGTTATAGCTAAACCAAGTAATTATTTCACACTTGTAGACAATCACACCGAGCAGCGTAAACAACAACAACAACTATTTCACACTTGTAGACAATCACACCGAGCAGCGTAAACAACAACAACAACTATTTCACACTT